TCTTAATCTGAAACTGTTCCAGGTGATTGCTGAAGGTAACAACACTAAATAATTATTATCATGATTTACCCATTCCTTGATTGTGGGGTTCTAAGGTAATTCCTTTTGGACATATACATCTGTTTCCACCTCTCTTTAGAGTCACAACATTACATTCATAAAGCAAAGAATTTAATCAAAGATGTCAGGGCATATGTTCATATGAAATTTGAGCTCTGGTTCATCTCTTACTGGTCCACTGGTGTAAACAACTCATCGCATTAGGCCTGAACACTGTATTTTGTTTTGAAATTGGATTGTTACCACATGATATAAGGTATGTTAACATTTAGAACACACTGAACACAGGTTATGCGGTTGATCTGCATGCGATTATTTCCAGTCAGTTCGGACAAAGTTTTAGGGGGTGGTTGTTACAGATGTTTTTGTCGAAAACGTCAGATCAGGAGGTCTAAATTTCCAAACAAAAATTTACAACTTGTTTGATAGGCATTACTTAGAAGTTGGCGGATGACAAGATAGACACAATTTTATGGATATCAACTTCTTTAATACTGTAAAAAGCGATGTTTCGGTATAGATCCTTATACCGTTGTCAAGCAAGACTGAATGTGCAAGTGGAGGATTAACAGTAGAGGATTAACAGTAACAACAAGGGCATACATGAGTGGGATAACATAGGTAGGTGTGACAACAAGGATGATGCTATCACAACACGATGGACAGAAAACACATAGCTAGAAGCCAATGGGGCATGAAGCCAATAAACAGGTGATTATTGTTTGATGAGTTCATAGTAGGCGGATGGGATGAAATAGCCTTGATCTCTGTTGATTGATGGGTTGTGGCGGCGAATGTCGACTGCTTCTGTTAGTTTTCTTTTGGTGAAATCATGGAGGTTGTTGGCGAGGTTGTTTATTGGCTTCATGCCCCATTGGCTTCTAGCTATGTGTTTTCTGTCCATCGTGTTGTGATAGCATCATCCTTGTTGTCACACCTACCTATGTTATCCCACTCATGTATGCCCTTGTTGTTACTGTTAATCCTCTACTGTTAATCCTCCACTTGCTATATATATTCTGCACTATGTCCCTCATTCAGTCTTGCTTGACAACGGTATAAGGATCTATACCGAAACGTCGCTTTTTACAGTATTAAAGAAGTTGTTATCCATAAAATTGTGTCTATCTTGAAAAATTTACAATTTCAAATATTTTATATTAATTTTAAATAAGTTTTAATTATAGTTTCTTAAATAATTTATATATATATATTGATAGTGACAGTAAATGAGCTTTTTGTAAACATTTTACATATCTCTGGTCCACTCAGTTAAACAACCCACCGTTTTTAATAATTAATTATATATTAATCCTTTCATATTTTCTTAAGTTTGTAAACATTGTTTTTAAAAATCTGGCCTCATAATGGATGATAAATAGTTTCCCTGCAAAGTTGCAATGCAGTTTTCTATGAATGGTTGTCAGACGAACCAAAAACTAATTATCTATTAAATAGATATAGGCCAACTGAAGTAACTGGTTTCAAACACTTAAACACATCAATGGGGTGATCTATCGTTTCACTTTCAAATGGGGACGGTTTTGTTCGGCTGATGCTGATGTGACATACGGAATTTAGTTACTTATCCATAAAATATGGCAGTTATTTTGAATTCGGATGGGGGAAAAATCAAAGAGAATCTATTTTTCCCCAGTACGTTTCCACGCGGCAACCGACTTTAGAAACGTACTGGGACGTACCCCATTTTCGTGTTACTCAAAGCATATGCTCTCGTAATCTGGTAATGTGTAATCTTGTTGAGACAACGTTTGCCAAGTAGCACTGGGCCTAGATTTTCGAAACGATCGTAGCCCTAAAATTATCGTAAATTTGTCGTAAGGAAATCGTAGGCTATCGTAGCATATTTTCGAAGCTATCGTAGCCCTAAGATATCTTAAGTTTGTCGTAAATCTAAGATAGCCCTATACCTGTCGTAAGTTTATTTTATCTTCATCCAAGATGGCTGCATACTTTTCCATAGATATTTTGCCAAACAATTAGTCCGCTTTACGTTCAAACATTGACATTTCATTTTGTAAAACTGAGTGATTCAAATTGACACTTCGAAAACACGAAGAACGCATCAAGGATTTCACGTCAAAAATGTTCTTAATCGCGACAGCGATACACATAACTGTGGAGTCGATAGCTTACATTATTTTTCTATCCGAGTCCATGCTGAAGAAGTGTGAAACAACATACCTTTTCGATAATTTGGGAAGGTGTCGACAGGCTACAGTAATGACCGTGACCTTATTGATAGTTTAGGGGGAGCTAATCTTAGTTCAAACTCTAGTTGAGAGTGGTTTCCCTTTGTATTCGCCCGGGACACCATGCTCAATGGTACAGTTTTCATAAAGCGCAGAGTTCCGCTGTTATATTTTCTGAGTCGCATTTGTGTCAATGCTTTAGTCTTTATTTTCGCATTTTATAAAACTATATCAATCTATATGTGTAAAAACAACCATAAAGGTTTCGCATAAGTTTTTACATCTAAAATCGTGTGGGATTTGACTAAACAAGGAAATACATGTGATCAAATATTTGTATACAATAACTTATATTTTTCTTGCAAAAGTAATTGTAATTTGTTTCGTTTAAATTCAATACCTACGTTATCTATATCCTCTTGAAAGACAAATATTTGATAAAAAGTGATTAAAAACTGTCTGTTGAACAATTGCATTCTTTAAGCCCAGGTGATTAACGGCATATAGATGTATTCCCTTATAAATATAACAATTTACCGAAATTTTGACAGCAAAAGTTAAGCACAGATTTTTGTATCGACAAATCAAATAAAAAATGAGTTCCCATGCTCGTTCTGGTTCTCGTCAAAATGTAGCATAGATTGCAAATTGTCCAAAATTCACTTTCAAATATATGTTCGTAGAAACAAAGTTTATTAAATGAAATTTACTGATCAACATAAAATACACATTTTCAACACAATAATCTTTGCATTCAATAAACGGGTTTTAAAATATTTTGATGTTTTTAATATTTAAGTCTACATCTTCCCGTTTTATGTTTAAAATATATATATATATACTTGAGACCATTCAAACAATAAAATCGTTGTCACGTTTAGGGTCAACGGACAAATACTAGTAAACGATCCTCAGCAATGCTGTCAGACAAGCCAAACACCATTGAACTACGTTCTGGAATAGATTTGACACATTACAAAGTATTTCGCTCCTTAGTCAGATTTAAATGAAATCAGACAAATCAGTTTATTAACTCTACTTAATTTAAAAGGATAGAAAATGACTACATTATATGTATGTTTACATTAACTTGTGGCGTGTTCCATGAGACAACATAACTTGGCAATTCCGAAATTATCTCTCTTTGCGAACGAAAATTAGTGTCACTTTTAAATTTTGAAAGAATTATGGATCTAGATAGATAAAAAATAATGTCATCATCTGAATACTTATAGGTTGATATTGTATTTAAGTCCTTGGTTACTTCGTGAAATATATTGGTTACATAAATAACAAAACAAACTTAACAAGCTTAGATTGTCATAAAATCTTGCTTGTGGGTGCGCTGCTTCCTGAACAATTTTTGTTTTGAGTGTTTCCACGTATAATGTTGGTGTTTACACTAATATAAACTTGACTTTTGACATAAACACAAACATATACAGTATACATCACTTAACATCAGACTTGAACACGCATGTTAAATGCTGAACGCATATGCTGTTCGATCAAAGGTCTTGTCGTTGTCATTTAGAATAACGTCCCTTACTTTCGTCCTTGACTTTGTTACGCGATGTGTTTATATCATAAAGTTCTGCGTGGTCACGAAAGGACCATTTGAAGGGAAAATAGTGAAGTATCTTTTGGCACATTATTTCTATTCTAATAGCTAAAGTGTGGTAACACTAGACTTATTGATTATAACATGTTTTGGCTTTGAAAAATGCTATTGCATGGCACACGAATGCTTTTTGTGTTCGGTTAGTCATGGCATCTTTTATCATAAGAACAACACGTCTACATGTAGGACATATGTAGGATTGTACAGAATTTCACTCAAATATGTACGTGTTAAACAATTTGACATGACAATGTGATCATGAATTCCGTGTCAATTATCTATGTTGTTATTGTCAGCAGCTGGGAATCCCCGTGACGTCATTGGGAAACACCCGCTTTTTCGATCTCTAACACAAATGAGTTCTCTGTCAGAGTTACGATAGGTATCGTAGCTCTGAACGATCTGCGACAGGTTTACGATAGTTTCGAAAATCTATCTTATCTTAACCTTAAGATATCTTATCTTTGAACGTAAGTTGTTAAGATTTATCTTAGCTAAGATCGTTTCGAAAATCTAGGCCCATCTAGGTGATGGGAATTTTGCGATTTCTTGATGGGTCAAAGGAACTTCTTCGGATCAGTCAATATATCGGATGCCATGGTGTATCACCATAAACTGGTACTTAATATCTTTTGCGTTGTGACAAGACAGGGAAACCAGTTAAATTGGCACCAATTACGTCATAATCTAAGGGGGATAACTCAGGCCTGTTCAGCTCGGAAACCGAAGGCCTCATAACGGCATAACATTTTCACACTTACCGTGAGCTTCCTACTTTCACTGTGAGAAAAATGAGGGTATATTTTCAAACACTGATACTAACTAATTCTAAAATTGCGTTTTGTTTAAAATAAGTAAGAAAGTGATTTTTGCGTGTACACTTCCCCTTTAACTGTGTAAACATTGGTCCGTTTCTGTCATTCTTTTGGGACCGTTTTCACTTGGTGCCGTTTCAGCCGTAACCTAAGCTCCACATCAGCGCATGCTACCTTCATAGTCCATTAGCACGACATGTTGGTAGACTGGTTCCCGTTCGTTCCTGCGACAGACTTGCAAAGCAGAGCAAGAGCAGCGGGCGGAGGATCCGGGAATCAGTCTAGACATGTTGGTAACGGTACATCGCTGCAGGAAGCTTTATACCGTTATGCCCGCGCATGGAAAGTAAGGAACTAGAAGTATGTCTAGAAATGTTGTCAGTGAATTTGCTTTATGATTAATCTGTTGTGACTCCAACGGGCACCCGACAAAATCATAACATGCCAGGTGTGTTCCTAAATCGTTGATCAACAACAAAACACAACCGTTATCATCTGTATTTACCATGTGAATGATTAGCTACAGTCACGATTGTCCTGTTTTCGATCTAACTTCCGAAACGTGAAAAGTTATTCATAGTATGGTATACGTATGTCAATTGTTTTGAACATTTTGTATCGATAGTAAAGTTGGTCAGTGATGCGATTTACGTGGGTACTTTTTTCTATTTCTAATAACAACATACGATAGGCCCTAATGGAAGGGCGAACAAACGTTTCGAATTCGTGTTTACACTGGTTGGGCTACTCTGCGTTTTTGTGGATCACAATTCCCATGCACCGTGAAAAGTTGCTCATGATATCAACCACTGGTCTGCTCGGATCAGACTCGATATTACTAAAGAGTTGACCCGTGAAGATCCGGGTAGAATAGGTCTTCAGCAACCTATGCTTGCCGTAAAAGGCGACTATGCTTGTCGTAAGAGGCGACTAACGGGATCGGTTGGTCAGGCTCGCTGACTTGGTTGATACATGTCATCATATCCCAATTGCATGGAACAATGCTCATGATATCAGTCACTGGATTGTCTGGTCCAGACTCGATTATTTACAGACCGCCGTCATATTGCTGGAATATTGCTGAGTGTGGCGTTAAACAACAAACAAACAAAAACTAAAGAGTCTGTTGTGATATATCTGCTATATTGCTGACTGATGAAGAAAAAATCCACTCATTCAATGATTCATTTTCTAAGCTAAATAGGATTTATTTATTATCATTGATATTCCACAAACTCAACACCATTAAAGATAAAGAATGGGATTTAAAAATGTTGTTCCTAGGTTCTTTGACGCACCAGCATTGAAGCAAACTTTACTTTTCCAAATCCTGTCCCTTTGCATTTGCACAACACGCTGAAGGAATCACCACTCCACAAATTGTGAAAATTTGTACTCAGAAATTATTTATCTCACATATGTTTTATTAAACTATATATATAGCAACAAATAACACAACATATACATATATACATTCTTGGTTATCAGCAATCAGCAAGTACAGAACATGTTCGACCCGTGAAGATCCAGGGTAGAATAGATCTTCAGTAACCCATGCTTGCTGTAAAAGGCGACTATGCTTGTCGTAAGAGGCGACTAACTGGATCGGGTGGTCATGCTTGGTTGTCATCGATCCGAATCGATCCGAGCCTTGTTGCCAATTTTGTGCTATTTTCTAGAAATTGTATGTCAATTAATCCTTCTTCTAACAAGCCGAGAAACGTTATCAGGGCGAACAAAGATTCGAACCCACAGTCATATGTTTCTGGCATCTCCAAGGGATGCAAATATAAATCAAAGGAAAGGCTAAGTGTTATGAATAAGAATTTGATATGCGATGGCATTTTTGTCCACCATTAGTTATGGACATTAAAAATTGATCATTTCATGTGTGAAGGGGTAGACAATCAATCATTGATTATTATCATAATAATCTCATAACAACATAACTATGATAACCATGTTATATGTAAATGATTTTATTTGACTTTCAGATTCCTCCTGCTTGGAATTCTGGATGAACTTGACATAGGTGCTACAACAGCTGTATCATGCCTTAATAATTATGAAATTTGGGGTATTGTGGAGGTATAATTTGACAACTCCCTACTTGCTCAAGACTTGAGTATTACATTTAGATGACATTTTATAATTATATATAATTCTTGGAATATAGCGAAGGAATATTGTTTGAAGTTTAGGTACCAATGACGACGGAATCGTACAACTGTGGCGTTTGCAAGCGTACTTTCAGTCGGAAATATAATTACACTCGTCACTTGACAATTCACACAAACTGCCAAATATTTTCTTGTGAGGCATGTGGAAAGGAATTTAAGCACCAAGGGGGTCTTGAGGCACATGGTAAAATCCACACAGGGGAGGATCTCTTCAAATGTGATGTGTGTGATGACAAGTTCAACTACAAAAGTAGCTTACAACAACATATGCTTATTCACAAGGATGTAAAGGCCTTTGAGTGTGAGTTCTGTAGTAAATCTTTCCGTAAGATGGGCACTCTGAGAAGACACAGGACCATTCACACAGGGGAAAAGATGTATTCTTGTAAAATATGTGACAAAGGTTTCACCCAGAAGAATAACTTGACAGTGCATTTACGTTTACATTTAGGTTTTTTATTGCACTCATGTAAGTTGTGTGGAAAACGGTTCAAGCGGAAGACTGATCTCAAAGCACACCATCAAGTTCATACAGGAGTTCCCAATTTTTCTTGCAGTATTTGCAACAAAACCTTCTCACGGAAATTCACTTTAAATCAGCATCAGGCTGCTCATTCAGTTTCGAAGATGTTCAGCTGTGATTTGTGCGGAGAATTGTTCACATACCAGAGCACATTGATAAGACATAAAAAATCAAAATGTGCGAAGACCTTTTCCTGTCATTTTTGTAAGAAGATATTTACCAGACAGAATCATCTCTCAAACCATCTCAAAGGCCATACTGAAAATCTTTACAAATATTATTCCACTCCAGCTGATGAGTTCTCTGACTCGGACCTGCTTGAAAGCTACTCGTGTTCCCTGTGCCAGAAAAAAGTCAGTCACCTCGACCTCAGCATGCATTTCAGGCTCCATACAGGGGAGCTAGTGCAGTGTGAGGAGTGTGAAGAGGTCTTCTCAGACAACAAAATGTTTGAGCTGCATGTACAGACTCATAATATGCAAAGTATAGTCGATATCACCACGATTAAGTCGGAGCAGTCATCTGACAGTTAGGGTTAGGCTAACCAGCTTGTCCCTAGACTGCAAGTGGAAAAACTTATTGTTTTATTCCTGTCACGTTACACAATTACGTAGAAATGAGTTTGAGAATGAGCTGGAGTTTGTTTATTCGTTGTGTTGATTGTAGCACATCCACTATTTTTTGTTAAAGTTTCTTACAACAATATCAGGGCACAGTTGTAAGTATGACATATAACTGAACTGTGTCCCCCTTTTCTAATGACTTGTTACATGATCATGATGATGTTTGTTTGTTTGTTTGTTGTTTAACGCTGCACTCAGAAATATTTCAGCTATATGATGGCTGTCAGTAAATAATCAAGTCCAGTGATAGACATCATGAGCATCAATCTATGGTATTGGGATACGATGACATGCATCAACCAAGTCAGCGAGTCTGACCACCTTGATCCGTTAGACACTTAACCCGTGAAGATCGGAGGTAGTATAGGTCTTCAGCAACCCATGCTTGCCTTGAAAGGCGACTGTGCTTGTCGTAAGAGGCGACCAACAGGATCAGGTGGTCAGGCTCACTGACTTGGTTGTCATCGTATCCCAATTGTGTAGATCGATGCTCATTATATCAATCACTGTATTGTATGGTCCAGGCTCGATTATTTACAGACCATGTCATAAAGCTGTAATACTGCAGAGTGCAGCGTTAAACAACAAACAAACATTGAAACAAACGAAACTTAGACACCTCTTACAACAAGCGTGGGTTGCTTAGGACCAAGCCTAACCTGGATTTTCACTATGTTCACCAGGATTCTTATCAATTAGTTTTTGCTTTTGTTTGTGATTTTATTAGCTTTTTTGGTATATCGTTTGTATTCAACATCTTGTTTATGTTGTTCACTTCACTTCCTAACAAATAATAAGTTGACAAATAGTTCTGCAAAACAGTATCAATATGTACTTTATTTCATGAAATGTGTATTTGATTGTTTTGTGACAATGGTTGGTAGGTGGAAAAAAAGTATGAATATTTTTTTTTTGGTCTTCGTGTCACATGAGTATGTAGCCATAAGATAAGATAAGATAATATTTATTGCAGAAACGTTCCATTACGGGACAGATGCAATTTTAAAAGACAAGACATTATGATTTATATATACATATATACAGACATACATAATTTACATTCCTGTAGACACATACAGAAACAAAATAATCAATATCACATATTTTTATACATAAAATGTCAACGGTTGATTATGAAGGGGTATTTATTGTTTGAAATTATAGATGTGGAAACAAATGCAGTTGATATTGACTGCTTCATTATTTGACAGGATGTATTGAAATAATTTGTCTTCATGACTGTGGACATTTACATTTATATTTTGTCTGGATAGTTTTTCAAAGAGTATATTTCTTTCTCGAATGTGTTTAATACAGTGAAGTAAGTAATGTTTTTCGTTATCAATGATTGAACATGTAGAGCATAGCCTCTGATGTAGTGGGGTTGGTGGCTTTGTGTGTCTTCCAAGTTCAATATTTAATTTATGGTTACTTAATCTTAGTTTAGAAAAGTGAACTCGATATTTTTTTACTTTACAGTGACTGAGATAGGGTTCTAATTTTATTTCATTTTTAACTATCCTATATGTCCTAAGTTTGTTTCCTGTGCCTCTTGTTGTATTTACATCTTGAAGAGATTCCTTGAAGAGGGAGTTGAATTTAGATTTGATTGTCTCTTTGAATATTGGTGATAGGAAAGCTGAAATGCTCAAATTGTGTTTTCCTAAGAATAGATTTAGCTGGTAAACCCATCCTAATCGTTTTTTCACCAAATATGTACTTTCTGTAAAAGCGTTCTGAAGTATTATGTTTTTGGAAGAACAGACATGGTGATAAAAATTTGCTATTTTGATTAATACTGTGTTGATAAGGGGGTAGAGTCCTAGTTCAGCTCGGCTTGCCCAGTTATGTGTTGTTTTGTTGACACCTAATATGGATTTACAAAATTTGAGCTGCAGTTTTTCGGGGATAAATGAATCAAAGTTGTTCAGGAGGATTGAATCTACACCCCAGATTTCACTATTATATAAAATTACTGGCTCGATTAATGTTTTAAATAGTTTGCAAGCAAGAGCTATTGGTATATCTTGGTTAAAAATGGTGGACTGAAGCTTGTGGTAGGCCCCTAGGCCTTTTTTCAAGAGAGGTTTAGCACTGTTTTTAAGTTTACCATTTGCTTGGAATCGTATTCCTAAATAGTTATAACTATCTGTAACTAGTATTTTTGTATCACCTATGGTCCAAGTATTCTTTTCTTCTGTTTTAATTGATTGTCCAAACACTACAACATTTGTTTTATCACTATTAATCTTTAGGTTATTTGTGGCACAAAATACCTTTAGTCCATCAAGTAACACTTGTAGCTTTTGGGGGGAATCGGCAAATAGAACTAAATCATCGGCAAACAACAAATGACAAATGTTGAAACCATTGAGTGTTATATTATTGCTATCTGATTTGATATAATGTGGAAGGTCATTGAGGAATATATTAAATAATGTGGGAGACAAAATGCACCCTTGTCGTACCCCAATGTTGGATTTAAAGGATTGTGAAACGCCCTTGTCAGTTTTCACTTTATAAGAGATATCACTGTATAGTGATGATATTATTTTAAATATGTTTCCTGAGATTTTATTTGATAATACCTTTGTTAGGAGTAGTGATCTGTCAACTGAATCAAAGGCCTTTTGAAAATCTACAAAGCAAGTGTATAGTTTTTTCTTTTTACTTTTTGTAGAATCTATTAATGTTTTAAGAACAAATACATTATCTGATGTTTGGTAGCCCTTCCTAAATCCAGACTGACAGTGGTCTTGTAATTGATTTTTGTCCATGTGTTCCATTATTCTTTCATTAATAACCTTACAGAATAGCTTACCTAAGCAGCTGCTTAGTGCAATACCCCTGTAGTTGTTAGGGACAGTCTTATCACCCTTCTTATGTAATGCGGTAACAACCGAGGCTGCCAAGCTCTGTGGAAAGTGACCGCTATTTAATACGTCATTAAACAGTTTAACCAACTGATCTATCAATGAACAAGATATTGATTTTAAAAGTTCGTTACTTATGTTATCTTCGCCTGGACTTTTGTTTGTTTTGAATTGTTTTATACAAGTGAGAATTTCATTAGCTGTTATTGGTTTATTAAGACCGTCACATATATGCATATCTCCATGTCTTGAAGAATTTTGTAGAGGATCCAGAGAAGATATTTTTGTTTTAGTGTTGTAAATATTCCTAAAGTGGTTTGTTAGCTCCTCAGGATCAGGATAAACAGATTCCTTTGGGATGAGGTTCTAAGTTTATTTAATAGTTTCCAGAATTTTTTGGGTTCCTTTTTTGACAGGGTTTCCAGTTGTTCAATGTGATTTTGTTTATAGATACGTTGTTTTCTTCTGAGTAACTTCTTGTATTCTTTTTTGGATACAAGAGCCCTATTTTTAATTGATATATTGCTTTCTTTATTGAACTCTTGATATTTTTGTTCCATATTACGTTTTGCCGCTTTACATTCAGCATCATACCATTGGTTTTTTGGTACATTTGATTTATTTTTGCAAGGTTTTGTTGACAATTTGTTGACAGTTTGTAATATATCAGAGAAGGCATCAACAAGCGCTTCACATTCAGAACCATCTTTTGGACTGGAGGTTAACATAAAATTGTTTAAGGCAGTTTGAATATTGAAGTTTGAGGTAGCATCTTTAACACATGTGTGGCTGTTGGAATGCCAGCGTCTTCTACCCCAGTATTTAGTAAAGATTACATTTGTGGCCTTATTAATGTTTTTGTTCATTTTAGGGAGTTGATCTGTGGTTACTGAAAGTTTAAGGGATAGCTGGCAGAGATCTGATAACAATGTTAATGGTTTTATGTTGAAATATGAAATATTTTGGTAGATTCCTTCTGTGACTAACGCGTAATCAACAACACTATGACCATTATACGTGTGACATGTAAAGTTGCCAAGTCTGTCACCAATAGTTCGCCCGTTTAATATTATTAATTTACAGCATGTGGCTATATCAAGGAGCGATTTCCCATAATTATTGGTTTTAAAATCAAGACTACATCTTCGGGTTTGTATGTCTGAGGTTATATCACTGGGTAGGTCTGGCAGGTGATCTATGTTTGTATTATCAATACATTCATCCTCGCACGCTGTACGGGCATTAAAGTCCCCCCCCAAAATGATCTCACCTAAATTAGAGAATTTGATTATTTCTTTAAGGAGGATGTCAAATGGATCAATATTGCATTTTGTCCAAAATGAGGACCCTTCAGGACCCTCGACTACTGTTTCCAATACTATGTTTTCTAGATACACTAATGGTATGAAATCCATGAAAGCAAACATCACTTTGGTTTTCCCATGTCTCAGTTAAACCAAGAAAGTCATAGTTTTTCAGTTTGTCATACAAATCATTGTCTTTTGTATGATGGAGTCCTTGTATGTTCCAAAATGAAAAGTTCATATCACTCTGGGTGTACATCATTCAAAGAATAATAAAACAAAGCAAAATATAGCCTAATGTGGCACAGGCAGGAAAAAGCATGTTTGCTGAACTGCCAGGTTGGTCCGGAGGAGAGTCATCATATATGCATTGCACAATCTTGTTTTGGTATTATTATGAATATAATCCACATGGAATTTGGCACTTGAGGATGGTATGATATAATCCTTGGATACATGAAAGTAAGGTATGTTAATATAACACAGAAAGTTGATGGCACATCAAACCAATATGGAGAATAAATATACTCCATCACTCTTTTCAAATAACTCCAGAGAGGCACATACAGAGTTTGCGGATTATGTCCTGTGCTGAATCACTTGTTTGTAGTTGTGATGGTGGCGATGACCACCATATGGAGGCGGGGTCCATGGACGGGTTCAGTTGAGCGCTTGGTCCTGTCTGTGGGGGGACAGGCCATGGGGGTGGTACCTGGTGCCCAGGAGGTGGAGGTGGTCTCAGTTGTCCATTCCTGCTGTCATGGGATGTAGGATAAGGGGGCAGCAGCTGTATCTGCCAGGGTTGCTGTGATTCCTGGGGTTGATGTAACATTAGATCAGGATTTACATTTCCAAACATTGAATGATGGTGATGTTTGTTGTTGTTGTCACTGATCTGATGCACTGGATTACTTGTAGGCTGAGGTCTGGATGCTTGTATATCTCTTAAGTTCGATGACAGAGGTGGAAAATTAGTACGATCAGGTTTTGGCGGTGTCATAAACGAAATGTTGTCCGTAAAGGAATTGACGAAAAGATGGATTTTGTGTTTGCTTGGGTGAACCTTATCATGGTACA